AAGATCTGGTCCAAGAATGTTAAGGAAAAACCAAGGGCATGTCTGGCCTTCAACGGGTGGGCCATAGTCAGGGAGAATAAACAAAAGGATGCTGACTTGCTCCTCGTGAAAGAAAAACAACCTGCCGCTTCCTGATATGAGAGTAATTGTTAGAAGCTGTGTGAGGCTATTAAGAAATGCTGATGTTGTCTAGAATCCTTCAGGGTTGCCACAACAAAGACTGAATATTTGCACATTGTGGTAAAGGAAGACGAAATGACCTCTACAAAGAGGGGGAGCTGGGTGGATGTAGTCCTTAAGTATCTTGGGAATAGGAGGGTGACTTTTTAATCTTTGGCCTTCAGTTTCTACTGACTCAGGAGCTCAAGTCCTTGAATTTTGGAGTTTGCTCTAAGGAATTAAAACTGAGTTCATCTCCAGATCTTGGTTTCTCCACCCAATTCAGAGACTTTGTTTTTTGGAAGAGATTTTTGCTATAGGGCATGGGCGCTCTCTGGAGAGACAGAAAGTGAGAAATCACCCCCTGTGGGGCGGCCACGTTGCAATCCCTGCTCCTCCAGTCTCTTCTCAGGATTTTAGACAGGCATGCATGCACACGTGCCGGCATGAGTTTCAAGCTGCCGGATCTGAGACTTGAACCACGTTTGACTATGTGGGAGGCCAGTGACTTCTTTAGACACTGCAGTATCTTACCAGGCTCGCAGTGGTATCGGTAGCACCATGGCTGATTGAAGAGACTGAAGAAGCCATACTTTGAAGAATGACTAGAAAGTCGGTGAGCAGGCTACAGGGCTGAGATGGGAGGATTCTCTTAGAATGCCACCTTGACCATGTGCAAGTCTGCAGCTGGGAAGGTGTCTGTGGGGCTCTGAATTTATGGAAATAGGAAGCTGAGATTTATTCATACCCGGGTGGGTAGATCTTGCTCAAGTAGAGGAAGGACCTGATGTGAAAGATCACATCTCATGAGGGGCAATGTCAAGATCCTCATCGGATTTCCATTTTGGTTTCATGGTTCATTCCTTCAGGAGAGAGGTTCTGGGTGGCTACCAAGACATCAAGATTTTGGCCTAGCCTCCTTGACCTGAGGTGTACCATCTCGGGGAAAATCCTTCATATATTCATTTAGTTAATAAATACTAAGAGTCACTGCTCTGCAGGGTTGTTCTAGATACCATGTATAATAATAATCATAGCATGCACTTGCATAATGCTTACTATGAGCCAGAAATCATTCCCGGGCTTTACATATATTAACTTATTTGAACCTTACCACGAGGCACCAAGTAGGCCTGTTTGTCTCTGCATTTTACATTAGGCACTGAGAGGGAAGCCGTCTTGCTTAAGGTCAGGTAGCCATAGGCTGAGTCAGGATTGGAGAACAGGCGGGGTGGCTCAGCTTTCCCACCGGGCAGCGGGGACTGTGACCTGCGAGTTCTCTGTCCTCATGGCCCCTATTGTCTCAGAGGAGGGAGAAAATAGAAGGCAACAAGTAATGTTATTTTAGCTACTGAGAAGTGATGTGAGGAAAGCTAACACAGGGTAGGAGGAAGAAGGCTGCTTTAGACACTGTGGTCAGGGAAGCCCCTTTGTGAAGGTGCAATCTGAGTACAGGCCTGGTGACAGGGGAAAAAGGCTATGGGGAAAGTCTGGGGATGGATTACTGCAGGGAAAGGGCGCAAAAGCTCAAGGAGCGAACAAGCTGGGTATGTACCAGAGGCAGCAGGAAGGTAATGGGGAAAGTATGAGTGAGGGAGACTGCAGCAGCGAGGGCTTCTGAGAGTCTCACGTAAGACTTCAGGAGTCGGGGCCAGCTAGTATGGTGGTTAAGGAGCTGGAGTTGTACATGGCCAACCACGGTTTGAGTCTTGGACCTAGCAGCGTGAGACTCACACTGGGTGCACGTGCGTGCCAGCTCAAAATCCGGAGAGGAGAATGAAGGAGAGGGGACTGTAATGTGGCCCTCTCCCCTGTGCAATGATTGCTCACTTTCTCTCCACCTCTCTGTCTCTTCGGCAAGAGCACATGCCCTACAGCAAAAATCTCTAAAAACAGAAAAGATTTCATAGTTCACCAAGCGGGGCCATGAGGCTCTGGAAGGTATTGTCCAGGGTACTGGATTGATCTGATTCCTCCTTTTTACTTTTATAATTACCAGAGGGCACGTACACTTACGAGAGAGAGAGGGAGAGAGAAAGAGAGAGAGAGTGATCACATTGCAATCCGTTTTCTTCCATTTCTCTATCCTCTCAGCATTTTAGGCATGCGTACAAATGTGTCTGGTGTGTTTTCCAAGTCACAGGAGCCAGCATTTAAACTGTGGCCAGCCATGTGGGATCTGGCACCTTTAACTACTGTGCTACAAGGATGGCACTGATTTCTCCTCTTAAAGGTGATTATTGTCGTGGTGTGTGGAGAACAGGCCACGGGAGCACATGGGAAGCGAGTTGGCAGGCAGTGGCCAGAGAAGAGGACAGTGTGGAAGGATACAGATCTGCTATCTCATCTGAGGTCGTTACTCCAAGGTCAACTTACACGGGCTTGGAGCCAGCTGACTTGGGTGTCCAACACATTTCAAACTTTAGCTATGGTAAACGTTATACCTGCATTCAGGAAGCTTCTAGAAATGAGAGGGCAGTGAGCAGAAACTTTCCAGTTGCTGACAGATACTTGGCTATCTAGTTCTATGAGGGGATGAAATGCCTTCACCTGCCAGGGCTCTGTGAGGTGCCAGCATGCTGTTCTGGGCAGTTACTATGGGAGCCCCAGTCCTCACCAGAGGAGCATGTATCCCCCGTCAGGAAGGTGCAATCTCCATGTTGTCCTGGGGAGGGCGCCTTTGCACTGTGAACTGACCAACCGCTCCTGTGAGGTTTGAAGCTGCTTGCATGTGGATTCACTGGGGATGCCACAGTCTGTGTTTTTCTAAAAGGTAGTTTCAGCAGTTCAAACTAAGAAGTGATACATAATTAGATACAACAGCAGAAATGGTGGCCCCCACCCCTTTCTAAGCAGCTTAGACTCTGAACAACTTTACACAAAAGATAAAACCAGTCTGTTTTGGAGAGGCTTGCCAGCTTCTACACGGAGACAGTGCCAAAAAACTGAGTCTTTCTGAGTTTGAAAATAACGACTCAGGCTGCTCGCTTTCCTAAGTTCCACTACTATGGGAGCCCATAAAATTCAACTGCTGCGGACTGGAAAATGCCATCATTCTAGAATTTTCAGAATGGTGACTCACTCATCTGCTGCTCTCCAAGTACATGCGAATGTGCAGATCAGTTCTCTTGTGACTACCCTATTACTGTTCTATGATTTTAGATAAAGACCATGTCCTAGGCCTTCTGAGTGTCCTAGTCACAGTTACTTGACTGTAGGTAACTGTAGAACTCAGGGAGGGTTAGAATCCAAAATCTTATTCTAGAGGAGATTCCTCCATTATATAGACAATGTAATAGGGCTTTTACACTTGACATAAAATATATACTATAGTTCCTGAATTCTTTTTTGAATTCTGTTTAGAGTCAGGCAGGAAGAAGGCAAGGCTCGGGAAGGACTGTAGCCTGTTATAATGGTAGCCACACTGCCTTCTCCTGACAATGCTTAAGATGCCTTTTCAAAACACTGTGTCAGGGGACCAGCAGTTAGCGTAATGGCTATGTCACTGGACTCCCATGTAGTCGATCGCGGTTCAACTCCCAGACGCAGTGGCGTGGACTCATGCTGGGCACGTGTGCATGCGTGCCCAAGATCCAGAGAGGAGAATGGAGGAGAAGGGATTGCGGTGTGGCCATCCCCCCGGCGGGGGGTGGGAGGTGGGGATTTCTCTCTTTCTATCTCTCTGTCTCTCTCTGTCTTTCTGGCAAATGCACATGCCCTATAGCAAAAACCTCTCAAAAAAAAAATTAAAATAAAAAACAAACAAACACCGTGGCAGAACTTAGTAACAATGGTAAAGGGTTTTCCTTCCACACTTTAATAAGCAAATTTACTGCAAATGAGAGAGAAGAAAAAATGGAAGCAGAAAGGGGCTTATATGATGTGATTGTTGTTAAATCAAAGGAAAACAGTGAAAAGGGCAATTTTTTTGAGGGTGTGAAAACATTCAACAGAAGGTTACTTATAGCCTTTGACGCCCTAATTACTTTGGCAGAAGATGGACGTATCACACCAGCCAGGAGACCACGCTCCTGCAAATGCACCACGCCAGCTCAGAAGGGGGAGGAGAAAGCAAGCACGAATCAAGAGGATCCCCGGCACGAGTACATAATCCCAGGGCCGTTCGTGATGTCAGCACCAGCAGCTGCACTGACACCATCAGCGCACACGGACGTGGAAGTGACATCCACGCGGGGACGTAATTCAGGTTCGTCACTCATGACGCGTCGTCATGAAAAGAACACCATTCTGTTTATCTGGAATTGTGACTTCAAAATGCTAAGGGAAGGAGGATATATTTATACGCTAGTGTATGTCCATGCATACATACGCAGCTCATTTTACAAAGACTGAGAGGATAAAAAACATGTTACTGAAGCTTCTTATACTTAAAAACACCAGCGTTTAGTAAAAACGGTAAGACTTCAGCTCCCAGGAGGATGCATACATGGGAAGTTCTGGAAAGTGAAAGTTTTTTTCTCTAGGTTCTCCTTGAATCTGGTAACATGAGAGTCCATCCTTCTAAGTCTGAATTAGTAAAAGTCACAGCTCCCTGATCCTGCGGTATAAATCACAACACCAAAAGCACTGATGTCCAATCAGGTGAGAGCTGTCAAGAGCTGAAAGCGCTTAGCAAAAACCAGTACATCACTGAGCCGTCTTACCTGTCGGCGAATTATTTCAAGGTCTCTTTTGGCTTTACTCACTAGGGCTTGAATTTCTACAGGATCCTTTACATTTTTATTTTCTCTGAAGGCATCTCTTATCCTCCTGACAGCATACGTTCTAAACAAATTCAGAGGGAAAAAAAAAGAAAAGAAAAAAAAACACAAAGGTGTCAGCATATCTGAAGCTATGCTTTTAAAGGAATTTAAGAACCTTTCCTTCAGAATTAACTGTTTAATATTCTCCTGTGGATAACTCACTCTGATCTTTGCTCGCGGGATGAGCCAATCCATTACTCTTCTGGGATAACTAAGCAAACAGATTTAGGAAAATAAATCTGTCTTGAATAAGTCACACACAAATAGCAAACTGCTACCAAAATGCTTAGATTACTGGTTCTTTGCAGTTCATCGCCTCCCCTTCTCTCCGTTAACAGGGACCACTGAGCCTTCACTGTACAGACACAAATCAAGAATTCAGAGGCCAAATGACGCGTCACATGTGCCTGCTCCAAGAGCGCGGTAGGGACTAATTCCTGTCCCATCATTCTTTATCTAGATTTAATTTTATTCCAGGTGTCTGCATGGGCAGAAAGAGAGTGAGAAAGAGGGAAAGAAAGTACCCACAACAGGGCATGGTCACGCCAGAATCCTGGTAAGTGGAGGACACTTACCTATTTTTATCAATATCCCGAATGCATATGTACCCAGCATGTTTTTCAAGCCACTGGGGCTAGGATTTGAACCACTTGGCCATGCGGGAGCTGGGTCTCTGTGCAGGCGCCTTATGGCTGAGTTATAGAGCCAGCCCTCCCTGTCCCATCTTTTGACTCTCACTGTCCCTTCGGTAGCAGTAAATATAAGGCTGCAGTCCACATCAAGGTCCTGCCACAGTCAAAGCCGTGAGTTATGCCAACGTGATTTTCCATCTTGAAAGTGCATATGTCTGTACAAACATAGCCCCTGTCCATACCCCCAACCAGACAGAGATGACTTGTGGCACCAGGACAGTAGTTCAAAACCCTGGCCTTCGAATCACACAGGCTTGTTTGTGTGTGTGTGTATGTTTTTTAAGAGAGATTTTTTCTATAGGGCATGTGCACTTGCCGGAGAGACAGACGGCAACAGAGAGATAGAAAGCGAGAAATCACTCCCCAGGGGGGATGACCACATTGCAATCCTTTTCCCCCACTTTCTCCTCTTAGGATTTTGAGCACACACACACATGTATCCAGCGTGAGTTTTAGGTTGCTGGGTCCAGGACTCGAACTGCTGTTGACTACATGGGAGGCTAGAATGTAACCATTATGCCATCTGCTGGTCCCCGGGCTTGGGTTTGTAACTTTACTCTAGCTCTTACTGTTTGCGTGTACTTGGGCATGTTTCTTAACATGTCATGTTTCCTCATCTCTCAAAAATGTGATACGCTGCTTAGTGCTACTGAGAGGATCAGGCTTTATAACATGTGCTTGAAATGTGGCACAAAGCTTAGAACATAAAAAGACTCAAAGAACGAAAGCTACTTTTTCTTAGTTATATCTGATGCAACTAGTATTCTTCTCTGTTCAAGTCATGGTCTCACCTTTGTCCGTCCCATCAACGTTACATCCAGGTATGCATACAGAGGGAATATGTGTGTAAGGGTGGAGTGGTCTGGTAACTAGCCCAACAGATGACCTGGGAGTTCTTAACCAGAGGTACTCCTACACCTGGATGGCCACAATCTTAACCTCCACACCCGTCAGATCTACTCCAGACTAGAAGAACAGCTCCCAAGAAGAACCAGCCCATGTTAGACCTGTTAGACACTTTTCTCTAATGATCTCTGAATCTCTATGGGGCTGGCTCAGTGAGGCAGTAGGAGTATGCTGCTCAAGTGATGCTGGATCCGTATGGAAGACTGTGAGTTCAGTTCCCCAGCTGACCTGTATGAACCAGACTTATGCCCATTATCCCGGCTGGCTGAGAAAAGGCAGGGGGGAGCTGTGACACGAGACTCTCTTAAGGGTGCTTGTCTTTCTCTCTCTCTCTCTTTTTCATTATCATGAAGGAAGAACTTGGAAAAAAATTACAAAGAAAAAATCCATGAAGCACTCTTGGCAACATTTAGCAATAAAACAGAAATAGAGGAGAAAAAGAAATGAGAGAAGGGGGAATATTGATTTGCTTGGGAGTTGGGATGTATGTAGTAGAAGATTCATAACTGGGAACCAGTAGTTAGCGTAATGGCTATGTCGCTGGACTTCCATGTAGTCGACCGCAGTTCGCGTCCCGGACCTGGTGGCTTAGAACTCACGCAGGGCATGTGTGCGTGCGTGCCCAAGATTCCGAGAGGAGAATGGAGGAGAAGGGATTGCGGCGTGACCATCCCCCCTGGGGGTGATTTCTCACTTTCTGTCTCTATGTCTCTCTCTGTCTGGTGAGTGCACGTGCCCTATAGCAAAAACCTCTCCAAAAAAAAAAAAAAAAAGATTCATAGCTTACTGGGAAATACTACTTTAGTGAGGACGAATTTTGTTCTAGATAAACTTTGCTAAAGTAAAAAGAAATTTTACATTAAAAATCCAAATGTCAGGTCTATTTGCATTTGAAAGCAAGGGTAAAACTAAATCTCTTCACATTAGAAACCATAAAAGAGAGAGGAAGTGTGTAGGAACTTAACACTTTCAGGATGTAAGGACTGCAAAGACCTCGATCTTAACCTGAATGAACCAGCTCAAGTATTTATAGAGATGCTCAGTGACAGTCTTAGGAGTGCAATGACTGGAAATGGAATCCACAGAATAGCAGCAAGTAGCTAGCTTAATTGGGGTGCATTCACCTGTGAAGGAATAGCTGAGGATTTTGTTAATAGACTGTATTAGATACAGATTCTCCTCACGTGCAGTTGCTAATCTAATAAGATTTCAGATTACAGCTAGGTAAGCTAAGAATAATTTCAGGGTTACGTTCTTGCACAGAATAATGATTATACAACACAGTATCAATCTTCCTCATACCCACATACTCTTCCAAAGCAGTTTCTTTTTTGGTGGTGATGGGAAAAGAGAAGGGAAAAATAATAAGACTCTTATATTTCATTCTATATGAGACTTTGGGCATGCATGCACACCTGCCTGGTGTGTGCTTCATGCTGCTGGCTCTGGGAATTGGATCACGCTGTCGGCCATGTAGGGTCGCGTTCCCTTAATCACCAGGCCTTGGGTTGGCCCAGGAGTATTATTTAGCATGTTAAGACATAATTTCTCCCAAAGATTAAGGAAATCAGAAAATAGCTTAAGACACTCAACATAAATTTATATCAGTTGAGCTCAAGGTCCAGCATTCAGAATATTCTGTTACATATTCTTGTTTGTCTCCCCAATTTTTCCAAGCTCTTCTCTAAAAAAAAAAAAAGAAGCTTTAGGGCCAGCTGATGGTGAGCTGGTTTAGGCAGCTGGATCCCCCATGGCTGATATACTGTTAAAGTCTCAGACATGGCGGCTTGAAAAACACATTGAATGTGTGTGTGCGTGTGTGTGGCCAAAATCCCAAGAGAAGAATGGAAATGAAGAAGAGATTGTGGTGTGGCTATCCCCCATGGGGGTAATTTCTCACTTTTTCTCTCTCTCTCTCTCTCGCTCTCTCTCTGGCAAGCATATGTGCCCCTATAGCAAAAACTTAAAAACAAAAAAATAAGTGAAGCTCTGGATTTGGTATTAAATGTGGCCAAAGTAATATTCAGGAGTGAAGGTTCAAATTCTGGATGGATCTTTGAAATGAATTCTTTGCTCAGAACCAAAAGATTAACTACTGCATTAACAGTTTAGTGCTCAGTTGTATGAATTCTTATTTCAAGTGATCAGGATCTTGTGAAGGCAATCATCTGGTTGAATCATCAGATTTTGGGCAAGAGGGGCTAACCATTAATTACGTCAATCTGAACTCTGTCTTTTTTTTCGCCCATTACCAAGGTAATTCATTTATCCTTACACTTTCTGGCTATCAGCCTCTTGACTGTATCACTGAGCAAATATATTCCAAAATAAAATGTGCAGATGTTTCAATCAAAATGACAGCCAGTTGCTACATGATGTTTTGCGTTAGGATGATCCTAAATAGGAGTGAGATGCCGGTTAAAGTAAGGTATGAACATTTTTTTCCTTTTTTTTTTTTTTTTGCTATGGGGCACATGCCCCCCTGGCCAGAAAGACAGAGAGACAGAAGACAGAAAGCAAGAAATCATCCCCCAGGTGGGATGGCCATGCTGCAACCCCTTCTCCTCCATTCTCCTCTCGGGATCTTGGGCACGCACGCACATACGTCCGGTGTGGGTTTAAGTCATGGGGTCCGGTTGACTACATGGGAGTCCAGTAACATAGCCATGACACCAACTGCTCATCCCAGGCATGAAAAATTAGCACAGAAAGGGCAACAGAACCGAGGATGAGGAAGCGGACTCCCTCACAGAAGCACCAAGGCAAAGCTGCTCACATGAACTGCTCTCTCCCCACCCCCTGCGGCCTGGTGGTTTCTCAGTGCTTCTTTTTTCCATTTGGCTTTCCTTCTCCAGCCAGACTTTGCCCTTTAGTCGACCATCGGACCTCAAGGGGCCACAGGTTCTTCTGATTGTCCTTTCACCATTGCAAGTATGAAACTCCTGAGATTCCTCCAGTCTTGCAGATTTTCCAAACGCAAAGCAACACAGCAGGCAGTAATGAAAACTCATTAGTCCTCAAGGTCTTGCTTTTCTCTCCCCTCCCAGAACCAAGGTGGCCAAATGCAGTTGGTAATCACAGACCTCCAGCACTTGGAGGTTCACATCAGCCCTAGCATCCAAAATGCAATCTGAAAACCAGTTCAAGTGATGCCTCTCATTTCTGTCATTCACCGGCATCTAAATCCTGCTTTTCTCTGCTTATCTACACTGTAAATACCTGTCTGTCACTCCACGTCAAGAATCCCAGTAACTGGGACCAGCAGTTAGCATAATGGCCATGTCACTGGATTCCCATGTAGTCGACCATGGTTCGAGTCTTGGACCCAGTGGCTTAAACTCACACCGGGCGCATGTGCATGCATGCCCAAGATCCTGAGAGGAGAATGGAGGAGATGGGATTGCAGCGTGGCCATCCCCCCTGG